ACCTGTGGACCCATCCTGATCGTAGGATGTGCAATAAGAACTTTTAAACCAGCAGCTGCAACATCTCTGCTAGAGCCTGCATCGAGGACTGGGAGATTCGGTGCATGTAACGTACTATCCTTTAACAACCTTACTCTCATGCTTTTCTTTCTTGTGATAATAAACCTTTAGATATAGATTCTAAAGGATTGTCTCCGCGTGATTTGTGGGTAAGATCCAGAGGGTAAATTGACCAGGGATCTGTGGCTGGTTTCTTGGGACCAGACAGAACTTGTTCGGGGTAGGTGGGATTGGGTTCTAAGACCCCCCACCTGTGTATGAGGCCCGGGGCCATCTGGGTCACGGATATTGCTGGGGTGTCAGAGGGGTTTTGCTCGGGAGGCTTCAGGCAGGTTGCTGAAGTGCTCTGTGGGACTGGTTTGTGGCCTGTTCGGAGAGGTCACCAGTCTGGGGGCTGTAAGGAGCCCCGGATTTAAGCAATTCACCCTGAGCGGACACCCTCAGCTGTGCCCAGACTCGGCCCGGTCCGTCACAGTGGCGTAGTCGGCAGGATCCACAGATCTTGGTCAATTGAGCTTGGGATCTGGACCCCACGCTGTCTAAGTTTGATTTTTGGTGTTGAGAGTTTGGTTGGGTAAAGAGCTGCTGCAATGAGTGAGCTACAGTATGAAAATCTGGACTGAGAGGCTCTGGAACTCTTGTGCTTGGAAGGAGGCATTGCCTTTAATGAGGAAGTTTCTAATCCGGAGCTGGCATTTTTGTTAATGGCCAGAAATGCTGCAGAAGAAATAAGAGTGCAGGATCCAGTAAGGAGAATGCAACTTAGATGTAAACGAGAAGTGGAGGAGTTTCGTCTGCTATCACAACAGAGAATACAGAGGCGAGACCGAGAACATGCAGAGAGGATGGCAGAACACGCAAAGAGAATGGCAAGCCTTGAACTTCAGCTTAAGAGAACAAAAGATCAATAGGAACTGTGTCCTCCTGAAAGTTCAGTGTATGACCGTGTGGGCATGTGGGGTAATTTTGTAACCCACCCCCAAAGCATGTATGAGGTTTGTGAGCCCTTACTGGGATGGGGCAACAAACAACACCAGTTAGGTAGCTCAGGCCAAACAGCAGTCACTAGGCCTAGGCCCTGATTCTGTCTTAGACTACAAACTGTCAGGTCTCCTAGTTCTGGCAGAGAGCTGACAGGCGTAGGCGGTTGTCCTACAATAGTAGGGGAAGACTGCCACCCCAGATTGTGTTAGCAGGGGTGGGGGAGACACAAACCCACATCAGTCTCACTGTAACCAAAGGGAAAGTGTCTCGTAGGGTATGTCTACACTACGGGCAGGGTGATGCTGGGAGGAGAAAGGGGTAGGGAAGAGGAGAGGGGCAAAGAGGGTAAGAGGGGAGGCGTGGGTGCTGGGAGAAGAGGGGTCTACGCTTATATTTTATCTCACGCTGAATACAATGACGGTGTTAAATTCAGTGCACGTGTTTGTGTGATTCCCTGGAAGACTCCAACTACCAGACGAATAAGTTACCCCGTGGTTAGACTTATTATTACTTATTATTATTACTGGAGACATGGCCAGGAAGGAGCAAACGGGGGTGTAATGTACCAAGTCAGTCCGGGCACCACTGAGAGGGTCAGATCAGGGTGAATTGTTCAGAACCAGGCCTATTGACAGCCCAAATCTGGAGTCCTCCCTATAAGGCACCACAGCAGTCACACCAAGTCCTTCAGCTGCCACCCTGGCCAGCGAGAAGCCTCACAAGCCCCTTAGACACAGTGTTCCCTGTGCCATAATCAGACCCGCACCTTATACAGGTGAGAGGCCATAAGACCCATCTCACCAACTCCGGACAGGTTCTCCCAGTCCGAAAGGGCCAGCCACGGTCCCAGGGCAATTTATGCCCCAGATCTTGCCCCGAGGAGCTCACTGGGGCCAGTTCTTTAGCATCTAACATCAAAAGGTTTATTAATAAGAGAGAGAAAGGTTGAGAGTGAGATTGCGAAGGAGAATACATGACTCACATCAATCAGTTCTTGATGCAGACTCTTAGCAGAGATGGAACAAACTGCTGGTTTAAAAGTCTCTGGAGTACGTCCTATGTTAGGATGGGTCGATGCTCCTTCCTGGCCCTCTGTACCTAGCAAGGGTGCTTACATAAGAACGGCCAGACGGGGTCAGACCAAAGGTCCATCCAGCCCAGTGGCCAAAGCCAGGTGCCCCAGAGGGAGTGAACAGAACAGGGAATCGTCCCATGATCCCTCTCATGTCACCTACCTCCAGAGAAACAGAGGGTACGGACATCCTTCCTGTCATTAGCCATTGATGGACCTAACCTCCATGAATCTAGCTAGCTCTTTTTTGAACCCCGTCCTCGTCTTCCAACATCCTCTGGCAAGGAGTTCCACAGGTTGACTGCGCGCTGAGTGAAGAAAAACTTCCTTTGGTTTGTTTTAAACCTGCTGCCTGGTCATTTCACTTGGTGACCCCTAGTTCTTCTATTGTGGGAATAAGTAAATAACTTTTCCTTATCCACTTTTTGCTTCTGGACTCAGGAGCCAGACTGAAGAGCAGACGGAGGCGCCCGCGTGGTACTTTTATATTCCAGGTGCCTCCCAAACTGGACCTGATCACATGATCACGTGACCGGTCTCTGTCCTTTATGCAAGTAGCCATGATGCACTGGTTGGTCTGCAGGTTTCCAGACACCTTCTTCGGGTGTTTACTGGAAACCTTCAGAGCCTTCGTCCCTGCAGCATCGCTAATCAGCACCGTCGTTCACTGGAGAACCATTCCTCCCAGTAGGTGGCCCAGGCCCGGTTCTCCCTCCCAGACCGAGAACAGTTCAATACAAGTGCAGAGCCCAGATTCATAACCTTACATACAAGTCCATGACATCCACCAGCAGGTGCAACAGTGACCGATAACGTGCCGATAAAATCCGATAACGTGTCGGAGGAGGGGAGGGGGAGTAAAGGCGCGACCAAATAAATTCATATGGGAAGACAATGAAGCCACGCCTTGCTGAGTGTGTGGCAGGATCCAGAAGAACCCAGGCCTGTCCGTCCAATCCCGTACGGAGATTGGTGCTAAAGGAGGTAGGTAACTCGGTGGATAGGGGGCGCTTCTTGGGCAAAACCAGAACATTTTTCCGCTGTGGGTTTAGTCCAGAGCAGAGTGTGATAAAAACAAAGCCACCTGTGTGTGAACACGTACCGGGGCCCTCCCGTGAGAGGGGGTTGGTGAATGTCTTGCTGAAGATAGCCACATGCTCCTGTTGAGGAGCTGGACAGATGTTCTGCATCTGCACTGTGATGGGATTGAATCCAGAGCTTACTGAGATCAATGGAAAAGCTCGCATTGACTTCTCTGGGTGAGTGTCCTTCCGAGGACACGCCCATGTGATGAAATTTGTACTTAGCTTACTTCTGCTGTCCCAGCGTCTGATCCAAGTCAGGGGAAAGTGGAGCAGCCTGGGAGTTATTCAATGAAACCGTTCTTCATTGGAAAATGTAAGTTTGTTGAAACCAAAAATGTCTGCGAGAAAGGGGCAGTTTTGCTGAATTTCACATTTCAAGAGAGAATGAAATAAAAAGCTCCAAAAAATCAACACGGGACATTTTGACATTTTTGGAACCAAAGTGACCCATCTTTCAGGTCAAAATGCCTTTTTAGAACATAAGAAAGGCTGTGCTGGGTCAGACCAAAGGTCCATCTAGCCCGGTAGCCTGTCTGCCAATAGTGGCCAGTACCAGGGGCCCCAGAGAGGGTGGACCGAAGACAATGATCAAGCGATTTGTCTCCTGCCATCCCTCTCCAGCCTCTGACAAACAGAGGCCAAGGACACCAATTCTATCCCCTGGCTAATAGCCTTTTATGGACCTAACCTCCATGAATTTATCTAGCTTCTCTTTAAACTCTGTTATAGTCCTAGCCTTCACAGCCTCCTCTGGCAAGGAGTTCCACAGGTTCACTACGCGCTGTGTGAAGAAGAACTTTCTTTTATTAGTTTTAAACCTGCTCCCCATTAATTTCATTTGGTGTCCTCTAGTTCTTCTATTATGGGAACTGTCATGGCTCCTTCCCCACTCTGGCATGATAAATGCAGAAGTGGGGGCCAGCAAGTGTACCCCAAAGCCTTATCTACCAGGCTTTGGTATCAAACTCCCCCCAAAATCTTAAAAACCTAGATCTTGGGAATAAAACTTCCACTGCCACCACCCAAATGTTGATAAAGAAATCAGGGGAAAGATCATTTGGGAAATCTTACCCCTAAAATAAAAATCAAGGCACACCATTAACCACTGCCAGGTTAATAAAAAGAAAAGAAAGAACTTTTATTATTACAACAATATTCCTGTTGAAAACATAATGACTAGATAGGGAGGTAACAAAATATACTCATGGAGAAACTCCATGGGCCTAGAACTTAGTTACAAAGAAAAGCAAAAACATCTTTTAAGCAGTGCCAGATCTCAGATCTCATACCCAATCCATAAAACAATAAAGTCTAACAAAACTACTTAAACTATACCCTACTTACAGAAAATGAAGAATGGTGTCTTGGAGAGAGAGACATGCTTGTCCCTCTCTGTAGCTGCAGAGAACTCTCTCAGAGAGACAAAAGGGAGAAAAAAAGAAAAAACCCAAATTCCTTTGTCCCAGTTTGAAAAGTCCCACCTACATTCCTATTGGTCACTCCACCTGGCTAGGTGTAGTTAACCCCTTAATCCCCAGGCTGCTGGCTAACCCTCATAATCATGACAGGAACTAATAAATAACTTTTCTTTATTCACCCTCTCCACACCACTCATGATTTTATAGACCTCTATCATATCCCCCCTCAGTCTCCTCTTTTCTAAACTGAAGAGTCCCAGTCGCTTTAACCTCTCCTCATATGGGACTCGTTCCAAACCCCTAATCATTTTAGTTGCCCTTTTCTGAACCTTTTCTAAGGCCAAAATATCTTTTTTGAGGTGAGGAGACCACATCTGTACACAGTACTCAAGATGTGGGCGTACCATAGTTTTATACAGGGGCAGTAAGATATTCTGTGTCATATGTGTTTTGTCCCAATTGTTCTACGACTTTATAATTAGAAGAATGATTAAACTACAAAGTAAACGTTTTTAATTTATCGGAAGGAAGGCTTTTATTGACCCAATCCAAGATGGGTTGGGGGATGGTTAGTTCATGAACACGTGCAAGGCTTTGACTTTTCATCTGGATTCGGGAGGAGAGGCATTTTTGAAATCTCAACAGTGTTCACAGGACAGGAAAACACAACCCCTTCCCTGGCCAACCGGAGTGAAAAGTTCCAACGTTCCAGCCTAGCGAAAAGGCTTCTGTTAACGGCAATGGGCAGCAGAACTGGAATTCTAGCTCGGAGCACTCCGCTCTTATGATGCGGGAGAACTCGGAATCCATGCTGAACTCCACTAGGTGTGAATGCCATTCGTTGTCCTCTTTCCCATAAGTATTCTTCTCCTCTGATGCATTGAGAACAATGTCCCCCCACAGCACTGTGAAGGGGCTCACCCTCCCACGGGCGCTCCTTTGTGGCCGAGGACGGGTCTGCAACTTCTCCGCTCTGAATTGACTTTGGAAGTTGCTGGACCTGGATTCCAGCCAGGTCTGAAGTCCAGCTCACACTCGGAGCTGCTGTCTTCCAAGTCAGTCCCTAGGTTTGACTGGGGTGAGCTCCAGCAAGCAACTGCCGGGCCCTGGCCCAGCAGCTTTTTTTATACCAGCTTGCTGGGCCCTGATTGGCTGCAGCAGAAGCAGCCGCTCTAGTTTGCCTGGAGGACCTCTCTTCTGCTCCTCTCCCTAGGGCGTGGGGTGGCAACCTCCCCCACCTCCAGCAGGGGGCTTTGGGCCTAGTCCACCCCATCACCGGCTCATAAATCCTTTTTGAGTCTGGAGCATTTGTAGAGGGGTTTGGAATGGAAAAAACGTGGCTCGTTTTTATTGCTAATAATTATTTGTCTGTCCCTGCTAAGCCAGGCTTCCAGCTGCTTTTCTTCTTCAGAGCAAAGGACGTTTTGAAGATCCACTGGATGAATGTAATGACATTAAAAAGGAATGAGCTCAGTTCAATTAGAGTTTAATTAACATGGTCCTTATGTCCTGCCTCCTTTTAGACACTGCAGCATAAACAAACAGGCTTTTCGCTGTCATCCTGGAAATAGCGTCTCTTCCAATCTCTCTCCATTTCTCTCCCCTCCAGATTCCCTGAGACTCCAGTTGACTGTCAAGCATGAAAATCTTTTCTCTTCTTTTTGCTGGTCTCTTCCTGCTTTCCCTGCCCAAGCCAGGTAAATTCCCCTCTCGGAGAGGGTCCGTGCTTTGTCAGCGAGAGAACCCAACGGGCAGAGCCAGTGAAATATGGTCAGCGGTGGGAGAAGCCCCCTTGAATCGATAACCCAACTCCCATAGACGTCAGTCAGGCCAGGAGTTCCCACAGTGCACGTAAGACCGCGAGCAAGCAGTCAGTGTCAACGACGTGAATCTCAGAGCAAGATCTCGTGGCTTCTTCAACCTTTTCATACTGAAGTCCTCCAGCAGCTACACCGTCATTGGCTTTCTGCCCTATCCCAACCAAAGCAGGGGCCGCA